ACCTGGCCAGTGGCCGTCTCTACCTGGCCAGTGGCCGTCTCTACCTGGCCAGTGGCCGTCTCTACCTGGCCAGTGGCCCAGTGGCCGTCTCTACCTGGCCAGTGGCCGTCTCTACCTGGCCAGTGGCCGTCTCTACCTGGCCAGTGGCCGTCTCTACCTGGCCAGTGGCCGTCTCTACCTGGCCAGTGGCCGCCTCTACCTGGCCAGTGACACAGTGGCCATCTCTACCTGGCCAGCGGCCGTCCCCCACCCCCATACACATCAATACATCTGAACTTACCTACCCCCACAACCCCCCCCCCCCCCCCACATACACACGAGTTGGATGAAATGTATGCGATACGTGAACTCTCCCCACCCCCCATCTCCAGAATGTTTAAGTTCATGTTGAGTGTTGAGGTCATTTGGGAGGGATACAAACTTTCTAGCCTTGACCTTAATGACGTTTCTGACCTCCGACCCCTAATGGCATCCATCAGCTCTGGCTCTCCTGTTGAGGTAAGGTTGGGGGGGGGGAGGGCGAGGGGGGGGGGGTCGAACTGTCGCCACCAAGTGTCTGTGTTGTATCTCAAGATATTGCACAACTCGCTCGTTGTGTCAGTGAGATATTACATGTATTTGGATGTGTGTAGTTGTGCTTACATAAAGCCCCACATATTACGTGTAATTGGATGTGTGTCAACAACCCCCCCCCCCTCACGTATCACATGGTCACGCTTGACTAGGCAGAAGGTGAGACAACCAATCAGAGCTCTGAACATTGCACAGGCTAAAGCTGGGTCCACCTCAGGTCAACATGGTGACCTTGCTACGTGACCTTGCTACGTGAATGGGAACTTGCGAACTTTAGTCATGTTTAGATAGAACTAGAGCTTTTAGCCATAATGTAAACCTGTCATATGGTGCATCTTTGTTGTCACGTACTTTGTCTTAGCTACACACAGTCACGTAAGTAGGGCGAATATTATATATACATATACATATACATATACATATACATATACATATACATATACATATACATATACATATACATATACATATACATATACATATACATATACATATACATATACATATACATATACATATACATATACATATACATATACATATACATATACATATACATATACATATACATATACATATACATATACATATACATATACATATACATATACATATACATATACATATACATATACATATACATATACATATACATATACATATACATATACATATACATATACATATACATATACATATACATATACATATACATATACATATACATATACATATACATATACATATACATATACATATACATATACATATACATATACATATACATATACATATACATATACATATACATATACATATACATATACATATACATATACATATACATATACATATACATATACATATACATATACATATACATATACATATACATATACATATACATATACATATACATATACATATACATATACATATACATATACATATACATATACATATACATATACATATACATATACATATACATATACATATACATATACATATACATATACATATACATATACATATACATATACATATACATATACATATACATATACATATACATATACATATACATATACATATACATATACATATACATATACATATACATATACATATACATATACATATACATATACATATACATATACATATACATATACATATACATATACATATACATATACATATACATATACATATACATATACATATACATATACATATACATATACATATACATATACATATACATATACATATACATATACATATACATATACATATACATATACATATACATATACATATACATATACATATACATATACATATACATATACATATACATATACATATACATATACATATACATATACATATACATATACATATACATATACATATACATATACATATACATATACATATACATATACATATACATATACATATACATATACATATACATATACATATACATATACATATACATATACATATACATATACATATACATATACATATACATATACATATACATATACATATACATATACATATACATATACATATACATATACATATACATATACATATACATATACATATACATATACATATACATATACATATACATATACATATACATATACATATACATATACATATACATATACATATACATATACATATACATATACATATACATATACATATACATATACATATACATATACATATACATATACATATACATATACATATACATATACATATACATATACATATACATATACATATACATATACATATGCATATGCATATGCATATGCATATGCATATGCATACGCATACGCATACGCATACGCATACGCATACGCATACGCACACGCACACGCACACGCACACGCACACGCACACGCGCACACGCATACGCACATACACATACACATACACATACACATACACATACATATATATATATATATATATATATATATATATATATATATATATATATATATATATATATATATATCAGTGGCATAGAGAGCGGGTATTGTATGGGTTACATAATACCCCCCATCCTCCGCCTCAGGACAGCTGTTGCTAATTTCACTTTGAAATAAGTTTTTCTATGTTAAACTATGCTAAAAGGAGGGGACGTGAAACAATAAGGGTCACCTTTTTTGTTCAGTCCTGGCGGAGTTAGGGGTGGGGGGCGGGGGGGGGGGGGTGACATCAGCAATCGACTCACAAATTAAATGTCTTTGGGTGGGGGGTCATCCATAAAGGACGTATCGTTTAATAGACGATTTTTATCTTTCCCCTCCCTCCCTCCCTCCTTCCCTCCCTCCCATACTCTCACACATCGCCACATCCAACAAGACGTGATACCTCAGACATGTCCACAAAACTAATGTTTGTTGTTATACTAAAAGAGATAAATGGCCCGTTGAGGGAGAGATACAACGGGTGCTAGGTTGATACCAAAATCACCACCTTAACTTTAAATTTAACCGGAAATGAAATATGTCATTGAAAACGAATTTTTATCTAGAATCGGCATTTTGTCCGGATTTAAGCTTCATCTACACGTAGTTACTGCACATTGATACTAAATATAGTAGTAGCCATACCCCAAAACCATGCACCTAATTTCAGACATGACAAAAGTCGCATTTAGAGTTTATTTCAGGTGACTCTACTTGGGGAAGGGGGCTCCACCCCCACTCCCCCCCCCTCCCACACATACACACACCCCAAAGACCGTCTACCGTCGCATTCAACAAAACAGAAATTAGATAGAAAATATAGTTTTACCAGTGTCCGTTCCCTCCCTGACAAATTTAGTTCATCCCCATCCTCGAAATTTCAACTACCCCCCCCCCCCCTCCTGGAAGGAAAAAGTCTGAAAGAAACACTAGTCGCATTTGTAGATCATACAGTCTAAAGGTAGAGACTACATCTATATTTTAGACCCGTTTCCCACTTTTGGTCGAGAAATCTCACTCACGCAGACAGTGTTTCTTTCAGACTTTTTTTCCGGGAGTGGGGCACATGAATTTTTGCAGGGGCGAAAAAAAATTCTCCCGGGCGGGGGAGGTCGACACTGGTAAAAGTATATATTTTTAATTAAAGGGGTGTATCTACAAATGAATATATCAATCAATTAATTAATGTCTTTAAATAAATTTGTGTTTAACAGTTTGGTAAAAAGAGAACATTTTTCTCTACATAAGGACGTATTTGACAGCTCTACACATAGTGCAGATGTTCTCATCTATCGAGCTAGACACACGAAAATATAAATATACAAAACCTGTTATCAAACTTGAATTTTATAAATAGGCCTATATATATATATATATATATATATATATATATATATATATATATATATATATATATATATATATAAATATATAATAGTGCGAAAAATGCACCCACAAAAACCTACCCTTGACCGATTCCTGGCGATTCTCTTGTCAAATGTCAAATGACTGTGTACTGTGTAAATATTTCGCGTTTGTTAAATAAAATGTACACGTGAGCCATGGGTACAAGCGTAAGCGTTTGTGTCATGCTAGCATCAAGGACTATTGACAAAACTAATGTTTGTTTCAGATTTGTGGCTGCTCCCAACCTCTCATCTATGCACGCCATCAGTCGACGTCTTTAGAACGTCATCGGCAGGTCATCATAGGTCATCGGCAGCTCATCATAGGTCATCGCCATCATAGGTCATCACAAGCACTGGTCATCAACCGCTTAACTACCATCTGAATACCACGTGAATCCATTCGAATTCCGGGTGAATACCACCTACCATTTGAATACCACGTGAAAACAAACTACCTTCTGAATACCACCAGTATACCACCTACCACCTACCATCTGAATACCACCAGTATACAACCTACCACCTACCTTCTGAATACCACCAGTATACCACCTACCATCTGAATACCACCAGTATACCACCTACCATCTGAATACCACCAGTATACCATCTTCAACTGCTGTAATCACAAGATAATTTTACCGTGTTAAGTATATTTGTACATACAGTGTTTCAGCACCGCTCTACCTCACCTACCTCAGCTTATTTATTGCTCCGTGTGACTCTCCATTCATTACCCAACAAGGCAAGCTAAACTTCAAATCAACTTCACACCCCCAACTTCACAATGACAGCTTACAGATCTCTCAGCATTGTTCATTTCAACACGGAGAGCTGGTCTCAGGATTAACCGATCGCTACAAGCTCTTTGTCGGCATGAAAACAACATTCGCTCACTGAAATGGTGTCGGTCACTCATTGAAATGGTGTCGGTCACTCACTGAAATGGTGTCAGTCGCTCACTAAAATGGCGTCAGTCACTCACTGAAAATGGCGTCAGTCGCTCACTAAAATGGCGTCAGACAGGAAGACATCATGACGCTGGAGTCACGATGATGGGTGAATAAAATGGCGTCAAGCGTGGACTGCTATCGTGAGTGCCAGAATTCTGGGACTGATTGAAAAATTTCCCCGCGACCCCAAGCTTAGACCCTGCAGGGGTCGGGCTTGCTGAACTAGCCGCCACCATTCTGTTCCTAGTGGACTCCAAGATGGCGCTGCGTGGGTACAACCGGATATCCCTCACAGAGATGGAGGATTTTGAAAACTTCTCGATGTAAGTCATTTCTTTTTCTCCCTCCATTCAAGCTCAGTAGGCGAGAGAGTTGGTTGTATGTGGGACTGTGGGTCAGACAGTGTGGGACTGGGGGACAGGCGTGTGGGACTAGGGGGACAGGCAGTGTGGGACTGGGGGGACAGGCAGTGTGGTTTTATATGACAGGCGTGTGGGTCTAGCATACTTCAATGGATACAAGAGGATTTGATATTTTCGTTCTGTAAGTACTCCGGATGTCAGTATTGTCATATGGTGTTATTTATTCCAGGTTGTCATATTATGACATTTGCTGTAGCGCAAATGACAATTTGTATTTTAAAAATTATTTTGTCATCGGTTATTTGTCATCAGCCAAATGTCAGTGTTGTAAATCCATAAACCCTAGATGAGCAGAAATTTCCTGAACTCAATTAACCAGAGTTGAAAGTCGCCAGACGACCCTGACCTTCAATGTTGACCTTTGAACCGACAGACCAACATAGCGTGTACAAAATAACATTTAGCCTAAAAGAAAAATCCATTTACCGATTTTATTTCCACAGTTTTGAGGTTAACCAGAGCTTTTTTATTTTTACTTTTTGGTCATTAAAGTCTGTCCTGATTTTCGCATATATATATATATATATATATATATATATATATATATATATATATATATATATATATATATATATATATATATATATATATATATATATATATATATATATATATATAGTATTTCAAGGTACGAGTTACATTGTTAAATTCGTACCGTAACATTGCTCGTATCTCAAAGCAATTTTCTCCCCTGAATTCAATTGAACTGCTTCCGCTCCAACCCCCAAAATGGCACCCAATTATTTTTTGTTTTTACGTCTTTCTGAAACAAAAAAAGTGTGTCCGTACATGACAAATAATGTTAAATAATATAAAATGGGACATTTTAACTAAAGAACTGGTTTTATAAAGTATATTTACCTTGAAAATCAGCCGACTTGGAAAATGCTGGTGGAGGTGTAGGCCCAGTAGAGGTGTGGGGTGGGAGTGTAGGCCCAGTGTAGGGTGGAGGTGTGGGGTGGGAGGTGTGGGGTGGGAGGTGTAGGCCCAGTGTAGGATGGGGGTGTGGGGTGGAGGTGTGGGGTGTAGATGCTTCACTTCATCCACTTACTGTAAACACTAAACTCTTTCAGTCACTTCACTTACTCGTTACATTCTTAAAGCTACACTTGACCTCTCAACTTGACTGAACTTTGAACTAAATTGTACCTAAATTTTATTGTTTAATGTTTTGTTACCAACGCTAAATTTGTTACCAACGCTAAACTTTATCTCTAAGCTGGTATTCACCCAGCTCTCCCCACTTTTCCATGCAGGCCGTTAAAATAAACATGTCAAAGTTTTGTTTTTACCTACCTTCAGAATGTTCGGGAAATTAGTTCGATATTAAATAGCATCCTTGGCATTTACTATGTCATCATATTGGCATTTACTATGTCATCCTATTGGCATTTACTATGTCATCCTATTGGCATTTACTATGTCATCCTATTGGCATTTACTATGTCATCCTATTGGCATTTACTATGTCATCCTATTGGCATTTACTATGTCATCCTATTGGCATTTACTATGTCATCATATTGGCATTTACTATGTCATCATATTGGCATTTACTATGTCATCCTATTGGCATTTACTATGTCATCCTATTGGCATTTACTATGTCATCATATTGGCATTTACTATGTCATCCTATTGGCATTTACTATGTCATCACATTGGCATTTACTATGTCATCATATTGGCATTTTAATTCTGTGTTTACGTGGATTTTGATACCGTCAAGAATGTCGTATATTTGGCCAGCAGAAAAATGGAGTGCCAGTAAACGTACCTTTCTAATTTATTTTGCTGCGTGCTCTCGAGGAAATATTTACCGAGTTTCGACTACAGAACGAGTTGGGAGACGCGATAAACACAACTGCCTACTAAAGACGGTTTAAGGCTCGCTAACAGTGCAGAACGTAAAGCGAAACAAAAACACAACATGTGTTTACTTGTGGAGTCCGACTTTACGGACGATTGATTAGGTCAGGTACAAAACATTGCTGGTGTTAGGCTGATATCAAAAGAGAACATCAAAAGTTGTCATATTTCCTTGAGATTAAGCCCTAATTAATTTTACGTTTCAATCAGTTTATCCTAGACCTAGAACAGTTAGGTCGGTGTCGGCGATAAAAATACATGGGCGTAATTATAAATATAATAATAGATTGGTGTAATTATAAATACAATAATAGATGGGCGTAATTATAAATATAATAATAGATGGGTGTAATTATGAAATACAATAATAGATGGGCGTAATTATAAATATAATAATAGATGGGTGTAATTATAAATACAATAATAGATGGGCGTAATTATAAATATAATAATAGATGGGTGTAATTATAAATATAATAATAGATGAGTGTAATTATAAGATAGCTGAACATGCAACACTTCTGATGGAATTCACTGAGTAAATACAGAAGTTACGTGCCAAGAATACTTAGCTCAGAGATAGAAAACTTGGCAAGGTTGAACTTTGAAATCATTCAAAATGTAGTCAAGTCAAGGAAAATGTATTGTCAACATACAGTGGGGGGGGGGGGGGGGAGGGGGGTGTCAAGAACAGGTAAATTAGCGGGGAGGGGTGTAGGGATAGGAGATACTTTAAATCTAAAAGTGTGTTATTATAATTGTTTTAAAAATGTTTTCACGTTGGATGTGAACTGGCAGGAAAACAGTCTGAAATCTTATCTGACGATCTTTATGAGAAGAGTCGAAAAACTTTTTCTGACTCCTACATAAAAGTCTAAAATATTCAACACTGACCATTTTAGACAAAAGTCATGGGATGGGCCCTAACAAAAGTCATGGAGTGGGCCCCTAACAAAAGTCATGGGATGGGCCCCTGACTAAAGTCATGGGATGGGCCCCTAACAAAAGTCATGGGATGGGACCCTAACAAAAGTCATGGGATGGGCCCCTAACAAAAGTCATGGGATGGGCCCCTAACTAAAGTCATGGGATGGGCCCCTAACAGAAGTCTAGGGATGGGCCCCTAACAAAAGTCATGGGATGGGCCCTAACAAAAGTCATGGGATGGGCCCCTAACTAAAGTCATGGGATGGGCCCTTAACACAAGTCTAGGGATGGGCCCCTAACAAAAGTCATGAGATGGGCCCCTAACAAAAGTCATGGGATGGGCCCCTAACAAAAGTCATGGGATGGGCCCCTAACAAAAGTCATGGGATGGGCCCCTAACAAAATTCATGGGATGGGTCCCTAACTAAAGTCATGGGATGGGCCCCTAACAAAAGTCATGGGATGGGGCCCTAACAAAAGTCATGTGATGGGCCCCTAACAAAAGTCATGGGATGGACCCCTAGCAATTATGCCAATCAGAAAATTGTGACGTCACCGTAAGTTGTCAGGGTTCCATAATGGAATCAAGAGATGTGTGGGGGGGGGGAGGACTGACACCTAGCGATGTTAATGTAGTGATGTTTGTGTGGGTGGTGTGGGGGGGGGGGGGTTGAAACCTATTTTGGTTGGTTTACCTAACCATTCTGATACAGATCTTAAAGTGGGACGTCTCACGTGTGACGTCACTTGAATCCACGCGGTGATTGGTTGGTATTTATAGATTGTATCCAAATAACAGGAAGTCTGCGCGCCACCTAGATCAACGTCTAGGTTTTGTGTTAGGGTTTTAAAGGTGTGATGTTTTTGTGTTAGGGTTTTAAAGGTGTGATGTTTTTGTGTTAGGGTTTTATAGGTGTGATGTTTTTGTGTTAGGGTTTTAAAGGTGTGATGTTTTAGTGTTAGGGTTTTAAAGGTGTGATGTTTTTGTGTTAGGGTTTTAAAGGTGTGATGTTTTTGTGTTAGGGTTTTAAAGGTGTGATGTTTTTGTGTTAGGGTTTTAAAGGTGTGATGTTTTTGTGTTAGGGTTTTAAAGGTGTGATGTTTTTGTGTTAGGGTTTTATAGGTGTGATGTTTTTGTGTTAGGGTTTTAAAGGTGTGATGTTTTTGTGTTAGGGTTTTAAAGGTGTGATGTTTTAGTGTTAGGGTTTTAAAGGTGTGATGTTTTTGTGTTAGGGTTTTAAAGGTGTGATGTTTTAGTGTTAGGGTTTTAAAGGTGTGATGTTTTTGTGTTAGGGTTTTAAAGGTGTGATGTTTTTGTGTTAGGGTTTTAAAGGTGTGATGTTTTTGTGTTAGGGTTTTAAAGGTGTGATGTTTTTGTGTTAGGGTTTTAAAGGTGTGATGTTTTTGTGTTAGGGTTTTAAAGGTGTGATGTTTTGTGTCATGTAGATCTAGTTGTTACATTAGACATCTAGACATACAATTTGAATGACGTAGTTGTTACATTGGACATCTAGACATACAATTTGTGTAACGTTAGACATCTAGACATACAATTTGAATGACGTAGCTGTTACATTGGACATCGAGACATACAATGTGGGGGATAAATCTAGCCATTAACTATAATTTTATAGAGGGAACCAACAATCGCTGACTAATTAGATGTGCACATTGATTAGGTTGCACATGTAGCCTGCACTTTGTACCACCTGTGGCGACTCAACGCTAGTTTAACAGCAGCTGATAGTTTTTTTTTTATGAACAGGTAATTTTTGTGATGAATTAATGAGAAAATTTATGTTCTCAAACTATTTTAAAATTGTGAGTTTTTTCCCCCTCATCCAAAAATGTGGTTATTGCCCCTTATTTTGTAGATAAATTCTCCCTTATCAGTTTTATAAGCTTAACAATGTTGGAATGTGCGGGATTCCTGTGAATTTTGTCGTATAAATGTAGACCTACATTAGGGAACATTCGTGTAGACCTACATTAGGGAACATTCGTGTAGACCTACATTAGGGAACATTCGTGTAGACCTACATTAGGGAACATTCGTGTAGACCTACATTGGGGAACATTCGTGTAGACCTACATTAGGGAACATT